ACTCTCTCTCTCTCTCTCTCTCTCTCTCTCTCTCTCTCTCTCTCTAATTATTTTTATATTGAATCTTTTTTTTCAATCTAAAAATGTGTAACAAAAAGATTAAATTTCCCGTTGAGGACAACAATGAAGCTCAAAATCAAAATGAAGATCTAAATGAAGACCAAGAACCAGAAATTGTAGATCCGCAAATATTGGAACGACAACGATTAGACGAACTATTGGACATACAATTGGGGGCACCGCAGATGGACTGGAACCCCAGACCACACGTACCAAACGTGCCTGACAGACCAATTGAACCAATCGTACCAAACCAACCTCCATTCTTGGTACGAAATCATTGGAATATATTGGGGACCCTTGTCACCTCATTTGGTGTAGTGGTCACATTTTTCCCCCAATACACTTACCAGATGCTGATGCTGGTATCAAGTGTATTGGCAACACTATATCATAATGAAGTAATGGGATTTTGTCTTGCAATATATATACTGATACGAATTATGTATCGAAATTTACGTAATCAAGAATAAAATTTTATTATTTTTCAATAAAATTTTTATTATCAAAAATTTAAAATTGTTTATCTGATTCTACAGCAATTATTTTTATATTCTGTGTGAGTCTTATGATATTGGAAATAATTATCAATATCATCCACTTGTTCCTGAATTATGTTTAAATTGAATTACCAATGTAATGTTTGTGTAGAACGAAAACTGTTTAACCGTAATGGTCATTCACATTTGAGTTTGTTTTTTTTGGCTATTTACTTCACTACCAATCAAACCACCTTGATGATGATTATATCTTAGTTTGAATGAAAATCTTGGTAATGAATTGTTCACCTTTATTTTTTTTTATGTTAGTTTGATTGCAAGTCTATCATTATCCGATAATGAATAATACTGATGATAAGGATGATGAATAAAGATAAAAATCTTTTGGCAAAAAAAAAGAATTAAACTGGATACAGAAATGATAATCATTCACACCACCTTCAACATACAAAAAAATAAAATTCTTTCAAAGTGGTTAGACCAGGTGGAAAAAAAAAGATTCGGATCTTTTGCTCTGTAATCATTTTGTTCATTCAAATTCGTTTCAGTATCATCAACAAAAAAAAAAAAAAAAAAAAAAATCAATTCAACTCGTTTCTGTTGTTGATTGTTATTTTATGTTTGATCAAACTTTTTTTTTTGAATCATTAATTTCATTCACAACATTTATTATGAAAGATTTTCCAATTTTTTTTTCTGATGATGGTTTGTGAACATTTAACTAGAAAAATAATCATATAATCCTCTTCAATATAATCTCAAATCTCGATATCTTTCTTAAGTTTTGATCTTGGTGATCGTAATCATGATTAGAATCACGAAATCTCATATGTGTGCATGTGTGTGGGGGTGGATAACATTTGATCGATATTAACATAATCAAGAGAGACAGAGTGAAATGAAATGAGAAAAAAAGAAAAAACTGGTTTCCATCAATAGTTCACTCCAATATATATAAAAAAAAGTGATGTAATGAGATGAACCGAAAGAAAGAAGAAAAAAATTTCACACGAAAATCAGATGACCAAAACGAAAACAAAACAATTAATACTGAAAAAAAATGGTCACTTATTGGCTAAAATGATTGGAGAAGAAAAAAAGGCTAATGATACCTGTGAACGATCAATGCGAACGACATTTTAGTCGAAAAAATAAAACATTGGTAGCCATAGTTGAAAATGATCGAAATCAGTTGATTGATTGATTTTATATCACTTACTCTCTCACTTACTTTTGTTTTGTACTTGTGTTTCATCCATTATTATGCCAGGCAGGTAGCCAACCAACCAGCCAGCCAGCCAAGAAGAAATATTCGTATTTTTTTCTGCTGACATAACAACAACAACAACAACAATTTACCTACCTGTCTGACTGCTTATCTCAAAAATTTTTCAAGTTTTTTTCATCGATAAAACAAAACGAGAAAAAAATTTGCAAGCATGGTTAGTTTTTTCCATCGATGATTAGTTTGGTCAGCAGAAAAACAACAACAGAACAATTCAACGATAACCAAAAACAACATTCAATCACAAACAATGGCCCCTATGGCCATTATGATTTTCATATACAAGAGAAAAAACGAAGAAAGAAAGCTTCTGGTAAAAAAAGAAAGAATTTTCGTTGTTGTTGTTGTTCTTCAAATCGAAAAGAAAAATGTAAAGAAAGGTGAAGTCCGAAAACAACAAAACCGGAATGTTTTACACATTGAATAATAGAGGAATAAGAATATAGGAATACAATTGAAAAATTCATTCATGAGAAATGTACATAATAATAATCATAAACAATAACAATGATGATGATGATGATAATAAAACAATGGAATCGCCAATATTTGCCCAAAGGCTATTTCCATTTATATATAAATGATGATCACATTTCCCTTTCTGGCATCAAATGATGATGATGATAAAACATTTGAAGAAAACAAGAAAGTTTTTTCCTTACACATCAACCGACCAGGCAAGATAGATATTGATTATTGTAAATCATTGAAAGAATTTGGCCAATTTAGCCATGCTCAAAATTATTGAAGATTATCAGCAAAAAAAAAAAAAAAAAAGATTTAGCTTTCACTATCATCATCATCATTACTGTGATTTGGACGAACTAAAAAAAAAGTTCATGATGAAAATAATAATAATAATAATAAAAAACACTAATACAGTGAACAAAATGTATGCAAATTCATGATAATAATAATCATGATTATATTATTTAAAATATAAAATGGTTAATTATTCATGTTTGAATATTCAGCAACTAGAATTCGTTAAAGTTTTTTTTTTATTTTTGTTTTCGTTCGTTATCACATTATATTATGTATGAGAAAGAAACAAAAAGGATTATCAATGTCGTGATGTGCAAGAAAAAGAAGAAAAAAAACTGGTTAATTTCAATCCATTCATCATCATGATGTTGGATGGTCGTTATTCTCATTCGGGTTAAATTCTTGTTTATATAGAACACGAAACTCTTTTGGTTTATTTTTGGTTCCATTATCTTATCGAAATTTCTTTCCTACTTTTTTATCATTGTCTTTCTTCCAAAAAAACAAACATAATCTCTATCCATCGTCATCGTCTTCATCATTGTCATCATCATCAAAAGAATGAAGAATTATAATTATTATTATCATCTTATCTTTTCGGTGCATTCATTCATCAACAGCATCTTAAATTTTTTTTTTTATTCATAACAACCTTTCATTATATAATTATTTATTTACAAAACGAAAAACAATGAATATTTTAAAAGCATTCCATTGTGAAAACAAGTGAAACAAACAAAAAATCTTTGTTTTTTAAAAATTTTAAATTTAAATAAAATTCATTGCATTAATGAAACTGATGAACAGGCCATGACCAGAAAAGCAAATCTAGGTAAACATCGTTAGAAAAAAAAAGGTCAAATATGGAAATGCCAACACGTTTTTGTTTCGGGAAAAATACCTTCCATCATTTGGACATATATGGAAATTGTTTTATCATCAAATTACTTCTTCATTGCATATTACGTGTGTTGAATAAATGTGATTGTTTGTCTGTGTCTGTGCATGTGTGTGTTTGTTTCACACTTTTTAAACACTTATCATGAATACAGGTAGCAACTAAAAAAAAAAATTCGTGACTATGATGAAGATGATGATGATGATGTTCAATAATAATAATTGTTGCAAATCAAGATGTAAACAAAATTACCTTGACTATTGACAACGACAATGACAATCATCATCATCATCATTATTAATAACGACGACGACGATGATGATGATGATGATGAGGAGGAGGTGGTGGAGGTGGATGGTAAAAAGGCAGCTATGAATGAAAATGGTAATGATGGCAATGATTGTCGTCGTCGTAGACGTATCGTTGGTTTTGATGATGATTGTCGTATGTTTATGTGATTAACACGTGGTGATTGTTGTGTTGCAATTTTGGTTGCTATTGATGATGAAATCCATTTCAAAATGAATTTGAATAAATAAAAATTTATTAATGATTCATGATTTTGTTGTTGTTGTTGTTGGGGTTGTTGATTATCAAATTTTTGATCAATATTTAAATGATCAATATTGTTGTTGTTGTTGATGGTAGTCCAGGTAAACATTCGGATCGCCATCATTGATGACTTTATTATTATTATTATTATGATTGAAAATACGAACAAATATTTTCATCGAGGATGATGATGATTCATAGTAATTTCCTGTTATGATGAAAAACAACGTGGGAAAACAAAGAAAAAATTGATTGACATTCTTAGAATGAACCAAAACACACACACACACCTTTATGTGAAACACCACTACTATCGTCGATAATGAAAAATGTGGAAATCGATCCACACACACATTTGATGAACCGAAAGATTTATTCTTCTTCCACCCCCAAAAAACAAAAAAAACACTGACAACACACTAAACATATACACTATTTTGGTTGACAATCGATGATTATTTTTTTTATGAATCAACTTTAATTAACAGGAAATAACTATGAATGAAGAACAAAACACTGAAAACATTTAAAAATCAAACCGCACACACACATGAAAAAACAAAACACCATTCCGGATAGAATAAAAAAAAATGTTGATCGATATTCGGGCCTGTAATTTAATAGAAGATTGCTTTATCAAAGCAAAAAAAAAAAATTGAACACAAAAAGCAATTATACCCAGAATACCCCGAATGTAAAGAAAAAAAAATTGGATGCAAAATGAAAATTACATTATTATGAATTATAAAGATAAGAAGGCTTGATTTTCATTTTTTTTGGATGGATCGAATCAAATCGATCGATCGATCAATGAACTAACGTAGAATAAACCGTAATTTTCTTCTGATTGATTTTTTTTTCATCAATCAAAAAATTTCAATCAAAAAAAATCTTTGTCGATTAAGAATAATTTTTTTTTGGCCGTTTTCCATCTTGTTTGCTTGGATGGTTGATAATCGCACTGAACAAACAAATGACAAATGCACAATAATCGAAGGAATATCAAAAGATATTGTAAATGATTGATTGATTGATGAATTTTGAATGTGAACCAACGCGGAACAACAATGATAATGAAAAACATAGAATGACCTTTGATACCTTTAGGGCTATTTTATTTCCATTCGATTACTGGTTAAAATCTGATGACGATCATCATTTTTGTGATGTGAAAATCAAACATCTAAACATCAAAACCAAACAATAACAACAACAAAAAACATTTAATCTTATGATCAATGAAAATTGGCTTGTTGTTTCTGGAACACTCAATGTTCGTAAAAACATACAGGCACATAAACCGATCCACTAACACAAAGCACAGACGACATTTTTTTAGATAAAAACTGGATGAAAGAAAACAAAAAATCACCGCGCCAAAAACAACAAAGTGAAATAAAAATTTGTATTCATTTTTTGAATGAAATATTTTGGCAAAACCGCTACAACAACAATCCAAAATCAACCAAACCCGATGATAATAATGATGATGATGGCTTCATGTCCTGGATGGCTACCAGAATACAATTGACCGAACAATCACCGAATTCACCAAAAAATTCAAATCATGAATGAATTTAGGCCCTGCCTTCATTTTATCTAAAATCAATGCTTCTACTTTATTTCTACAACTAACTTATTCATTACCGTTATTATATGCTACTTCTTGCGAAAAAATTATCCATCAGCGTTCGATTGTAGTGGTATGTATTAATGTTTGTTTTTGATTAGAAAACTAACAGCATTGAAAATAGTGATAGAATTCAAATAAAGAATTTTGAATTAAAATTATCATTGCTTTTTTGTCCAATGTTTTCTATTCGGTCATGTTGATGTCATTATTTCGTAGTTTTTTGGGAAAAATTTTCATTAAATATTGACCTAGACCTTGAACACGCACACAAACAATAAGTCCAGGGTGTGGTCAAATGAACTTGGACCTTCGATAAGACCGGGACATCACCTAATCAACCCCCGGCGTTAAATATTCATATCCCATTCATCAATATAATAAATTTTTATGGCACACACACCCTGGATTCTATCTTTTTTTTTTGCTCCAGGATCTGGGAAACTAGAATGACAATAGCAACAACAAAAAATTTCTGGTTGAATGGATTTTATTTCAATTTCAAATTGTAATTAATCAATCAATCAATCAATAATAGAAAAATTTTCAATTCATTGATCAATAATCAATGATTAGGCTTTCGTTGTTTCTGTTGTTGGATAATACGGTGTACTATGTTTACCATAATCATTCATCATTTTTTCCAAAACATTTTCATGAATTTCTAACATTTTTTCCAATGTTTCTTCAACTTCACCATGTTTATCATGCGATCGTTTTAATTCATCCACTAATGTTTTGACAACATTAATTTCTTCATGTATACGTTCTTGTTCTATTGAATGATCATTATGATGTTTTCGTTGAAATTCTTTAGCTCTTTGTAATAATTTTTCACCACGTTGTATTAATTTTTCACGATTATTTTCACCAATTTCAATGGCTTCGGTAGTCGAATGTTGACCAAAATGTGCCATTTCATCAAGTAATTTTTGTTCATGTGTTCGTAATTGTTCATAAACATCTTTCAATGATTTTTCATCATTTGCAGCATGAAGTTCACCAATTATTGCCAAAATAATACCGATCTGTGCACGCATAGCTAAAATTTCTTTTGCATTTTTAATATTCATTTTTTTTTCTTTAAGAAATTCTCTTGCATGTTTGATTAATTCTTCAGCTTCTTCAATCTTTTTCTGTTTATCATCGTTTTCTATTTTTGTCGTGGTGAAAATATTTGATTAACAATAATCAATATTCAAACTATCAAATTACTTACCAGCATAAGCTAAACCAATAACTATTGCAGCTACAATAGTGACTGTGAAAATTTGAACAAATTTCATTATTATTAAGTTTGTATTCTGTGTTTGTATCACTTGTAAAAAAGAAAAGAAAACAGTTATCGTTTGATTTGGTTTGGTTTGTCAATGTTGAATGTTCATAATCCTTTATGAAACTGTCACCAACTTTTATACAAAAAATAATGTACCCTTCCAATCAAATGTATTTTGAAATTTTTTAAAATAGTAATTTAGCAACAAGTTAATTAATTAATTTGATTGATAATGTTTGATTGTCAATATTAGGAAGCGAGGAAATTGATTGTATGTTTCTTTTTCCCCCCTCTCTCTGTCTTGGTTCAAGTGGAATTGGTAACATTTCATCTCTATTTGCGATAATAATCTCAAGTAATCATTAATTATCATTATTTCCCCAATTTTATCAATTTTATCTTAGTAATCATTCTGTTGGGCAGCGCGATTGAGAACTATAGTGCAAATTGTATTCAAAAAACGAAAAATTTTTATTCATGTTTATGAAATTTAAACAAATAAAGAATATTCTCGATTCTGATTGAAAATAAATTTATGACAAAATCGATGTTTGTTGTCGAGTTTTTTTTGTTGTTGGTGTTGTTGGTGTTGTTGGCAGAATTTGTCTTTCTAAATCGTTTATTACTTCTTCATGTTTCTTCAATTCTTGTTTATAACCTTTCAAATGTTCTTGTTTCGATGTCATTTCAATTTTTGATAATAAAATCTCAATTTCAGCCATTTCAGCTACATATAGTAATATCGATTTTTCATCAGGATCATTACGATGTTGAACCAAAAATTTTTGACCTTTTTCCAAAATTGTTTTTGCTTCACCAATTAGTTCATGTTTATCAATCTCTTTCGGTGTTGTTGTTGGTGTTATTGTTGTTGTTGCGTTTGTTGATGGTGGTGGTGTTATTGTTGTTGTTGCGTTTGTTGATGGTGGTGGTGCTATTGTTGTTGTTGCGTTTGTTGATGGTGNCTCTGTCTTGGTTCAAGTGGAATTGGTAACATTTCATCTCTATTTATGATAACAATCTTAAGTAATCATTAATTATCATTATTTCCCCAATTTTATTGATCTTATCTTAGTAATCATTCTGTTGGGCAACGCGATTGAGAACTATAGTGCAAATTGCATTCAAAAAATAGAAAATTTTCAATTTAGAAAAGAAATCTCAAAATTTTATTCATATTTATGAAATTTAAGCAAATAGAGAATATTTTTGATTCTGGTTGCAAATAAATCTATGACCAAATCAATGTTTTATTTTTTGTCATTACATTCTTTTCATTACATTGAATCTAAATTATTGTTGTCGTTGAGGTGAAATAATCAGAATTTTTTTTCTAAATCGTCCATTGTTTTATGATGTTCCTCCAATTGTAGTTTATAGCTTTTCAAACGTTCCTGTTTCGATGTCGATTCAATTCTTTCTTGTAGAATCTCAATTTCAGCTAATTCAGCGCAATATAATAATAATGTTTCTTTATTGGAATTATAACGATGTTGAGCCAAAATTTTTTGACCATGTTCAAAAATATCTTTTGCTTCACTAATTAGTTCTTGTTTATCAATCTCTTTCGGTGTTGTTGTTTTCGGTGATTCTGTTGATGCTGTTGTTGGTTTGGGTGTTGTTGGTTTGGGTGTTGTAGGTTTGGGTGTTGTAGGTTTGGGTGTTGTAGGTTTGGGTGTTGTTGGTTTGGGTGTTGTTGGTTTGGGTGTTGTTGGTTTGGGTGTTGTTGGTTTGGGGGTTGATGTTTCCATTGCACGTTCCAAAAGTTTTTCCATTTCACTAATCTGTTCACTATTATCGATCTCTTTCTTGGCTATTCACAAATCGGAATGATTGATTTTATTAATGGTAATATAATTATTATCAATAGGATTCAAACATTCAACATACCTGCATGATTTGATGGAAAATGTTCAGCCAACATCAAAATTACGATGAAAAAAATGTAAAATTTCATTTTTAATTCGAAAAAAATAATTTTCAACTTTAAAGTGTATCCAACGAGTTAGAAAAATGGAATAACAAATGAAATCAATAAATCAATGTACAATAGAAAAAAAACGGCAACGTCATCATTAAAAAATGATCAATTAATCAAATGATGATAAGAATAACCACTTATTATTGACCTTCAATCAATCAAAAAAAACTTTATTTTCAGAAAAAAATAGAACAATTAAGAACTACAAAAATCAATAAGAAAACAATTTTAATTATCGGTAATTCAAGGAATATCTTTTTGTACATGAGATTTTTGATGCATACAATATGTAATACCTTGATCCCATACACGTTTCAATATTTGATCAACTAGATTTCGTTTATCTGAACAATGATACCAAACGGTTAAGGCATCATTACAATTAGAATCTGGTGGTGGTTCTTGACCAATTGTTTTACACATTTTACAATTCAATTTATCATGTGTATCACTTTTGGTATTCAATTCTAATCGAAATAATTCTTTTAATTCCGAAAGAGAAAAATGTCTTTCCACTTCTTCTTCTTCCATATTATCGATAACACATGTACTCAATGCACGTTTATGTGTTTGACGTTGGAAAATTTTCTCTTCAATTGTACCGGTAGTTAGTAAACGATAAATATAACATTGTTTACGTTGTCCATCACGCCATACTCGAGCCATTGCTTGACCATCATTAGCCGGATTCCAATCCGGATCATACATAACCAAACGATTTGCACCGATAAGATTTAGACCACAACCACCTGCTTTACTACTTAACATAAATATAAAATCCATACTATTCGGATCATTAAATGTTTCAACAATTTTTCCACGTTTCTTTATCGACATAGTACCATCTAAACGTACATAGCGATAATTTCTTGAACGACATAATTTTTCAAATAAATCCAATGTTTGTGTATAATTGGATACTAAAACAACTTTATCAGTGGTTTCACTTCGAATATATGCCAATAACATATCTAATACTTTTAATTTTCCCGATAATGTTGGCTCCACTTGACGACTATTAAATGAACGAAAATCATCAGGAAAATGTTTCAATAAGAAATCCAGATCGGAAGCATTTTTTCCTTCTTGTTTCTTTTTCTGATTTTCAATGATCATATCGTAAGCTAATTGCGGACTATTACATAATTTTTTCAGGAATGTTATTGCAACTAGTGATGCATTTCCACCACCACGGCTGCCTGTAGAATGATGATCCGGATTGTCGCGTATAACTTTAGCAAGTTCTTTTGAATTAAGAAATTCTTGATATATTCGTAGTTGTAATTCAGTAAGTCCACAGCAAACAATTTGTTCAATTTTAACCGGTAAATATTTGGACAAAATATTTGATGTTCTTCGTATCATAATTTTATTGACTAAACCGATTAATTCGTTTAATCGTTCTTGTCCACGACGTCTATCATCATCGGTTGCATCGGCATCACGTCCTTTTAAAATCGGATTTTCATAATGACGACGAAAATCGGCCGAAGTTCCCAATAATCCAGGACATACAAATTGTACGAGACTAAAATATTCTAAAAGATCATTTTGAATCGGTGTTCCGGACAATAGAACACGACGTTTAGCACGAATCTGATTCAATGCTAAATAGGTTTGATTTTCTTGATTTTTAAGTCGATGGCCTTCATCACATATTACAAGACCAATATCACCTGTATGTAGAATATTAGTATGTAGACGAAATGTTTCATATGATATGATCAGAATAGGTTGACAACAACGACGACCTGATGTTGTTTGAATGAATGATGAAAGTTTTCGATCAATTTCTTCTTTCGAACCACCATCAATAGCCAATGCATTGATACGACAGCCAAGCCATTTATTGATTTCATTGTACCAATTTTTTACTAAACTACTAGGCGCAACAATTACAGCTTTATCGATAGTAGCTCGTGCATCTGGTCCTTGTCGTAAAAGTGTCCAACATAACGTTATACATTGCAATGTTTTACCAAGACCCATTTCATCGGCCATAATACAACCAAATTGATCGGTGATTTTTAAACCGGTCACACAATCCCACATGAATTTGACGCCTTCACGCTGATGAGGTCGAAGAACATTACATAAAACAGGATCAACAACCACATGAACTTTATAATCTTTGTTTGTCAATTTCTCCTGTGCATTTATTGGCGGTGGTTCATACAATATCAGTGCATTCGGTGCATCTGGATCAAATAATGGCCGTCTTGGTCCTGTTAATTTAACTCCTAATGATCGATATGATGATCCTGATCATACATATCCAAAATAGAATCATAAGTTCAAATAAAACAAACAAAAAAATCATCAAAACAAACCTGAATAATTATCAATTGGAATTTTAAATGGACGATTCAAAATTTTTTGAATGAGATCATTATGTGATTCACGTTCTCGAAGAATATCATCAACAAGTTTTAGATTTGGCCGAAATGTAAATGAATTTTTTACAGATATCAATGCTACACGACGAGTTTTACATGAACGTTTTGGATTATGTCTTACATTATCATCCTCTGAATTAAGATGACTAACACCGTTTGTAATCAATTGATTTTCATTATTATCCGTTTGGCCTAAAGATTTTCGTTTGGCAACAATCGATGGAACTTTACTTCGAAGCATTTTTTTTTTGAAGTTCGATGATGAAATCGAATGTGTGAATTTTCAAAACACAAAAATTGTCCGCCTTTTTGCAGTTGCTGTTCAAAAAACGTTTTTTTACAGCGTAACCTCGATTAACACAATGAACGTTTTCGAATATTCTCATAGAAACCACCATGAATTTATAAGCGAAATATCACCGTCGATCGATTCTGTTCATAGAATATAGGACTTAAAGTTTTGTTTATTTGATTTGATAGTTTCGTGAAATTTTAAGTAAAAACAAAATGGATGTAAGAATTATTTTAGAATTTTATTACAAAACATTAAAATACTTTTTAATTAATAGAAAATTAGTTCAATTATAACGGACGGTCGCGAACAAATCCGAACAAAAGAGCCCGGTTTTTTGGTTAAAACTCATTGTAAACGTGAAAAATCTAAATTTTTCATCAATGTTTGTCATTCACCTGTGGTATGTTTCAAGTTCTTATGAATTTCAGTGTTGATTATTTTACGCTTTATCGTAGATATCAGCACCAACTTTACTATTGGATGAAAAAGATCTTCATGATCTGATTGCTCATGAAAATTATGATGAACTATCAAAATTTACCATACCATTAGTATTGGAACGTTTAGAATCGACAAAAGACAAGAAAAATGAAACGGCCAAAATGACACATGTTATTATTAACAGTCGATTTTATGAACAAAAAATTCGATCATCAGAAATTTATAAAAATTATCTTGTCTATGTTATAATCGAAACGGTGAATGCAAAATTTAATATCCATTTGGACAATACCGGATTTGTTTTATTGAAAAATCGAAAATTTCAGCTAGCCGATTCGAAACAAGAATTTCCAAAATTTATCGATTCTTACATACCGCCCAATATACTGAATCGACCATCAATTGAAGATGATGATATACTTACACGATTGGATGAAAAATTGACTATTGATACGAATCAAACTGTAGGACATGTTACAGATGATGATCATGATCCTGATCATGAAAAACTAAATAAAAATCTAATTATTATGCTCGATATAGTCAAGGAAACTATAAAGATTAAAATGAAATTGGAACGACTTGGAATTCATTTAAAAATGAATGATGATCATGTTATCATTTTTGATTCTGCAAATAATAATAATGTAATCCTACGAGAATTTTATCTACCAATTCGAATCCGACCAGAAAAGGCTAAAGCTTCAATTTCATCATCAATTTTATCAATCGAATGTCCAGTAGTTTCTTTGTGATAATTTGAATTTTTTTTTATTAAAATTGAATGTTTATAATGTTTCATCATTGTAATAATACACTATTGAATTTGATAAATTTAATTTCAAAGAGAAAAGTGTTCGAGTAAAACATTATCATTCAGTGTTTGGATAAAAATTCCGGTTTTGCTCGAATCTTCTGAGCTGTTTGTTTTTGTTGTTGTTGTTGTTGTTGTCAGTGTCGAACGATGAGCCAGTGATGGTGAATTCATCAGGTGTTATTATTGTTCAGTGTAGAAATAATCATGCCTAAAGGATCATCATTTGAATTATCATCATTATTATCCAGATGTTTATTAAATGGATATCAACCGAATATTGATCGATTAAAATCATATCAAATACAGAAAATTCGACGAAGATTAAAATTATTAGAACATTATCTAATTAATTATAGTGTTTGTCATTTGAAATGGTTTGAAAGATTACCAAATGGATTTCGTGGCATTGTTTTTGCATTCAATCATGGCCTTATATCATCAATATGTTTTGATTCGGATTATCAATCAATCATCTATGTTGGTCATGATCACATTGTACCGAATAAATTATCATCAAAACGAATTTCAAGTATTGAAATGACCGATAATGCAGTGATCATAGCATTTGTTGAGCCATTTATCGCTATGATCGAATTTGATGATTCGATTGATTTAGGTCCGAAATTAAAATTTAAGAATAATTATCGTTTAAAACATTTAGAACAATTGGGTGGCCATAATAATGGTCGTGGTATGGCAAAACGTAATATAGCCATATGTGAATCTGTAAATTTGGCATTATTATGGTCGAATCGAATGCCACATCGACCGATCAACAAATTGTTGCCCATCACACCAACTGTTCGACAAACACAACAACAAATAGAAAAAAATCTTGCCTTATTAACTTTGGATGACTTTCGACTGATCGAATTCGATCATTCAATTAATGGTGAAATTTTACAGGTAAAATCCTTTCTTGTGAACATTTTAATTACTTTTTTCCCTTTAACTTGCAGGCCGATTTCGTTACAAATGATCGTGGTAAATTTGGTGTTTTACATAAACAAAAAACATCCGTTTATAACCTAACTTATTCATTGTTTGAATTTATCGAACCAAACGGTGATAATGTTGTTCCTAATGACTGTGGTCCGATTAAATTGTTGTTCGAGATTGGTATACCATTGGAAAAACTTTGTTTCGGTGCGGAATTTACTAGATTACAGGATAAAATCCTATTGCTATGTGATGATGAATCCGTTATGTTATTCAATATTGAACAGAATGTTCTTTATGCATTAAATTCAAGTAAACCAATCTGTCATATGGCTATGTATCCATTGGATTCATTATTCGTTACATGCGATCCTAATGGTTCAATATCGTTCTATGATATTGCTTTCCAGAATATTATACACTCCAGAAATTCAATATCGAACGATTGTCATCCAAATTCTAACATGTCCGTCAAACGATTACAATTCCTATCGGCTGATATACTTGTCGTATTGATGGTGGAAAATCGTCGTCAAGATTCAATCGATACAATCGGTCATTCACAACAGCCAATATCATCGATTTTACGAACAAAAGATTCGATAAATCATCATATGACTACCACCTGTTGCATGAAATTATATCATCTACCTTATCGTTTATCATTCAAACATCTTATCAATGAATATCTTTATCGAAAACAATATGAAGAATCATTAAATGTTCTTCGTACAATCAATTGGAATTGTTCCAGTGAACAAGCATACCATTGTTTGCATATAATATTTCAACATCTAATCACTGCACCATTATCATCCGTTCCCAATGGAGATGTTGAAAAAACAATCGATAAATACATTGAATCAACATTGGCCACATTTTTATTACCGATGACACCGATTGATTATAAAATTTTCGAACAAATTCTACCCGATATTCGTCAATTGGCAATTCGATTTTTTTATCATCTTGTACGTAATGGTTCATTTGAAAAAGCATATCAATTAGGTATTGAACTTAAATCAACACGATTATTTCTATTGTTGGCACAATTATCACGAATGAATGGTCAACTGGAATTGTCGAATAAATCTCATGAACAGGCACGAAAATTATTGAATTGAATCAAATTTGATTCATTTTTTAAAAAGAAAAACCGACAATAGATGGTGCTTTTTTTCGTAAATTCAGTGCAATAAAAAAAATATTTGTTAGTCGAATTCAAATTTTTTTTCCTATCATAAATCGATCATTTTCATATAATAAATCAATTAATTCATTAAAATTATTCACAAATTCAGGCATAAAAGAGAAACCTGAACCAATTCCTTCTATTTTTTTCAGTCTACCATTTTAGTTTTTGATGCTTTCGACACCCATTTCTCACATGACTGGTATTTGTAGGGCTTTGTTTTTTTTTATTTTTGGTTTTCTGGAACATAATCAACAAGATGATTGGGATGAGGATAGTGATGATGATGACGCATGCTTGATTCTTTTTTTTTGGGGGGTATTCAGATATCGACGATATCGGTATAACGGATGTGAAACGAAACCAAATCATTTCATAATAAAATTTTTTCCAAATAGTGTATGATGCAAACATGATATTCTTTTTCTTCTTCTGAGAAATCTTTTTGAAAAAAAATCTTCTTTCATCATTCACAACTGTAAATTCATTTGGAAATTTTCGTTATCTAATGATTTCGAGTTTATCAATAATTTCCAAATCAAAGGTAAAGTCAAAGTTTCTTTGCTTAAATTTACAATTCAAGATCAATTTCAATGTATTGATTTTATATGAAATCCAACCAAATTTATTCCATTGCATGTTTTTTTAACCGTTTGTGTTTTGAATTCGGGCTAAATTTCAAAAAATAAAGTTGAAAATTTAAAAAATTCTGTATATTTCTCTATATGCGGTTAATAGAAAACCAAACCATCTTTTTTGTTTTGTGAACCTGACCTACGGTAATCAAAAAAATAAATAAAATAAATGAATGAATGAACGAATTTTGTACACTAAAATAATTGAAATGCTATCTTTGTTATAAGTATGAATTTTTTTTCTTCAATATTCCATTCATTGATTCCTCTTCTCTCTTCCTTGTTATCATTTTGACATTCTTGTTTTTCTCCCCCCTTCCACACTTTAATAATGTCAGCAATGAATTATTGAATGACAAAAATTCTTGAATGAAAAAAAATGTGTGTGAAAAAAAAACGAAATACCAAAAAAAAAAAAATATTCCCGTCCACTACAGGCCCGAATAATAATAACGTTGAAAGATAAGAAACTCGTTGTCTGGTTGAAATAACAAAAGAAAGAAAAAAATTGGATTTCTTTCCTTATTTTATATTCACTTTATCATTTATCGTCAAATTCAATCATATGGATCTAACAAACGATGACGATATGGTGGTTGTTGAAGAAAGAAAGGAAAGAAAGGAAAGAAAAATTCCATTCTTTTTCTTTCCACTTATAAATATGAAATGATGCAGTGTATGGTCCATCACCACCACCACCACCATCATCGATAATGAACATCATCATTGAAAATCGATCTTTCCTATCGTTTATTCGTAAACAAACTTTTTTTTTGATATTTGAAATCGAATCGATTGACCAATCAATAATAATCAATAATAAGTGCGTGTGTTTTAAGAAATGTAATTAATATTCATCCGGTTATTATTGTCAATTTTTGATAATAATTATTGATGATCATTTTGGCCTTTGATGCCTTTTTCATGATCATTGAGATTAAATTTCTATCAAGCAAAAAAAAAATGATGATAATAAATTCTATTTCAATAATAATAATCAAATTTATTTCTTCTTTTTCTTTTTATTTGCTCACTTTCGAAACCGAGAATTTTAGTTTAATTTTTTGTTGTTGTTGTTCGATTCTTATTCTATACATTCGTATCATGATCATAATGATCATTATAATCATAATTGAACTTGTTGTCATATCGAATATTTTTCGGGTTGTTGTTTAGATGATTTGATGTTGTTGTTGTTGTTAGTGAAGAAGAAGAAGAATTTGGCGAAAAAACTTGACTTTTTATAAAAGGATAGTCATAGTCAGTATATGTGTATTGTTATCATCATTATTATATTCAGTGTAGATAGATAGTGTAGATAGTATTGATAACAATAAAAATGAATAAATCGATGAATGTGATGAAAATTGGCAAAAAAAAATTCATGATTGGTTGGTTGGAATTTTCTCTCGATTTTCGTTTTTCTTTTTTTTTCTTTTGCCATCCACCTCTTTTTTTTATCATTATATTTTTCACATTTCTATTATCATAATCAGTAAGGGTAGCCCGAATTTCCGCTTATTGCTTTTTTTCACATAATAGATAACCGTATTGATGGTCCATATAGTGTATGTATTTTTTTCGGGTCGTCCATCAGAATTTGGCCCAGGCCAAATCAATAGAAATTGAATTCTAAATAACACTAGGCAACGAATAATGATAACGACAACGACGACGACGAATCATTTTCATTTTCATCCATTTTTATTGAATTTATATCATCCTTTTGTTGTTGCTGTTGTTGTGTATGTTGAAACTAGAATAAGAAAGAGAAAAAAAAACAAGAATTTTTTTTTCTTTCTCTTTTTCAAATTGAATGCCATCGACAATCGCTCGATACCTCATCATAAATGTTGTCGTCATGGGCACACAATATACACGATGCTACGAAACAATGAATGAATTGGTTGGTTGATGATGGTTAACGTGAATGATGATGAGAAAGTCAAGTCGATTATACAGGACATTATTATTATTATTATTATTATTCGATAATATAATGGGCAAATAATTGTTCCACAATAATCGGATTGATTTCTGTTCTCTGTTCCGTTTCGTTTTTTTTTTCATCATTTTCATTTTTCTATTATTATCAATGAGAAGTATATATGTTGAACAATGGAAAAGCACTCTATAACTTTTCCCTGAATTCAATGATTATTATTTAACTTAATTTAGTATTTGAGATAATTCTGTTGAAAGACAAGAAAAAAAACACACACACACAGCGATTTAACTTAACAAGATGTATGTCATACAACAGATTCTTTGATTATCGATATCGATGATGATAAGAATGATGATGATGATGATGATAATTATGTTCGATCAGGCAGAAAATTTAGAAATTAAACTCTAAATGAATTGATTTATTTCAACAACAAAAAATAAAATAATTATAAAATCTTTGCCTGAATTTGACAATATTTTTCGATAATGAATTTTGTTTTTTTTTGTTTTCGTTTTCTCTTCCCAAACATTGATCGATTATCCTATCGATAACACCAGTTTATTATCATGTTTTGAATTTAGAAAACAAAAAAAAAACATTGAAAATCAATCAATAATTTGTTTTATATTACAATTAACTTTTGTTATTTACACGGTATCCGAATTTAACTTTTTCAATTCATCTTCATTATTGTCTTTTTGGGTTTGAAATAGTTTTCCATTCATAGTCGATAACATCATTTTCATTTTCGTTCATCAAATACAAAACAATTAATAATGCAAAATAATTCAACAACAACATCATCTCAACAACAAACAAATTCTTCCAATGAACCATCAACAGTATGGGAAAAATTGGAATATCTTCTAAGCCAATGTCGTGATTCAAGAAAATTAGTATTGGTTATTGTTGCTATTGGTCTATTATTGGATAATATGCTGCTCACTTCCGTTGGTATGTAATAGATGATTTTTTTTTCTAAATTGTAAATGAAAAATTCTTTTCATTTATCACCATTATTATGATGATTAGTGCCAATAATACCGGCCTTTCTATATGAATTAAATCATGAAAAAGATTTGGCTAAATTGAATGAATCATTAGCAACAACAACAACAACATCAACATTAACAACACCGATTAATGGAAAATTATCACAAATTGATCAAACATTTTTACAACAATCACAATTATTAAATCGATTGTTTTTTGCACCAAATTCACCGTTAGCAAAAAAATTAAATCCAGAATGTGAAAAAGAGGTTTGTTAAATGTTTAAATATTAAACAACAACATTGACCAACCAACAAACAAACAATTTCATTTTCATTTACAATTCAAACAGCTAGAAGATTATCTAATCAATAATGTTGAAACAACAACCATGACGGATGATGATTCGGCAACAACTAGAATGAATAGAATCACGACATTATCAGCAATTGATGCACATGAACTTCGACATAAAGAGCTTGTCAATGAAAATACTGAAGTTGGTGTCATGTTTGCATCGAAACCAATCGTGCAGGCTATTACCAATCCATTTGTCGGTCCATTGACCAACAAGTAAGTTGTTGTCGGATGTTTTCTTTTTTGATCAACAATCACGAATTATCATTCAATTTTTTTGTTGTTGTTCTTTATCACAATATAAAAGAATCGGCTATTCAATACCATTGTTTATGGGACTAATATTGTTATTTTTTTCCACTATGAGTAAGATGATTTAATTTTTTATAACAAAATCGATTATGACGAATTTTTTATCTAACAAATAGTTTTTGCCGTCGGTTCATCATATGCTACTTTATTTATGGCACGTTCATTACAAGGAATCGGTTCGGCATTTACAAGTGTAGCCGGTATGGGACTTTTAGCCGACAAATATCCGGATGATCGTGAACGAGGTAATAGTATGGCAATTGCATTGGGTGGCCTTGCATTAGGTGTACTAATTGGACCACCATTTGGTGGTATAATGTATGAATTTATTGGTAAAAGTGCACCATTCATTATATTGGCAATGTTTGCCCTATTGGATGGTTGTTTACAGCTGCTTGTTTTACAACCAAAAGTTGTACGTGAAGAACAGGAAGGTGCATCATTGTTGACATTGATTCGTGATCCTTATATTCTTGTGGCCGCCGGTGCTATCACGTTTGCCAATATAGGTATGATTAATCGGCTGTCAATCAAATTTAAATTGATTTTTTTGTTTTGTTTCATTGTAAGGAATTGCAATACTTGAACCATCGTTGCCTTTATGGATGATGGATACTATGGAATCATCAAATTGGGAACAAGGTGCTGCATTTTTACCCGCATCAATATCCTATCTAATTGGTACAAATATATTTGGACCATTGGGACATCGAATGGGTCGATGGCTTGCATCAATGTGTGGTTTAATTATTATTGGCTTAGCATTACTTTATGTTTGTATCACCATATCTGTTGTAATCATTATTGATAATCTTTCTTTTCATTTAGATTCCTATGGCCACCGATCTTTCCGAGCTTATTGTTCCGAATGCATTGATTGGATTTGCCATTGGTAAGTGTGATCCATTGTTAATTCATTTAATTTAACCTGTTTTTGTATGTCGAATAATAAATAGGAATGGTCGATAGTAGTATGATGCCAATGCTCGGTAAATATTTTGAATGTTATCTTAAGTTTCACTGTTCTAATCATTTTTACTTGCTTTTTTTCTGAAAGGATATTTGGTTGATATTAGACATACATCGATTTATGGTTAGTTTTTTTCAAAATTAAATTTATCTGATTCACACTGAATGATTTTTATTCACCCATCAAACTACAGGTAGCGTTTATGCAATTGGTGATGTAGCATTCTGTATTGGATTCACTATTGGTCCGGTTTTATCTGGAACTCTTGGTAAATTTTGTTTCAAAATTCAAAAACATTGATTATTAACAATAACAATCTTTTCTCTAGTATCATGGTTCGGTTTTACCGGTTTATGTACAACATCAGCATTTATAAGTTTTGCATTTGCACCTTGTATGTTATTGTTACGTAATCCACCATGTACAAATCAATTTACAACAAAATCACAACAAACACAATTATTGAATAGTCAAGAAGGTGCTGTAAAATATGTAAGCTATACAGATGATCTTGATTCACCGGATATTGAATCATCATCTGTTATTGGTGGCGGTAGTAATGTTACTGGTTATTCACGAAACAAATCATTCGATATGGTTCCATAGTTTGGTGTGTTTTTCCCAAATAATCTCTCTTCAAAATTAAATTCATTTTTCAATTCAAGAAAAAAAAATCAAATTTCAAAACACAAACATCACACACACACATCACTCAATTTGGTTATGAATGATAGATTGCTTTCTGGATAATTTTTCGAATGAAAAATTCCGGCAATCTTTTTTTTTTGTCAAATTCTTTTAAAGTTTTTTTTTGCCAAAAAACAAATCTAATAGCTTTTTTTCCCTATTCATATTCTGCAAATGTTTTTTTTTTGAATTGTTCAAAATTTGTTTCACAAATCATCATTATAATACCTATTTAAGACTTTTTTTTCTAGTTTATGTATTCAAGTTAGGCGCCAACAAATGGAAAAAAGGACTTGTTGTTGTTGTTGTTGTTATTGACGATGTCTTTATATTCTAAAAATAAAAAAACGAATGAAACAAGATAAATTAAAAACAATTTTAATGACAACAACAAAAAACCAGACAAGTTGTTGTTGTTGTTGTTTTAGTTTTTCCAACCCAAAAATTCATTGTGGAATATATTTTTGCTGCTGTGTGTCTGTGTGTGATGAAATGATCGGTCGAAAATATTCATCATATAGAATGATCGTCAATCATTGTTTGACATGTATGAAATTCTGTTTCTTTCATTGAAGAATAAAGAAAATTCGGTAGAAACAGAATAAAATGAATGATTATGATTGATTGATAAGTCTTGTTGTTCATCATCATCATCATCATCAATCGATATGAATGTTTTTTTGTCAAAATTCTTCTTGTTTCTTAATTTGTTTGTCAAAATTCCTTTTTAACGTTAAATTTATACCATTTGATAATTAACTTGAAATGGTGGTAAGAAATGGTGACAATAATAATTTTGACAATTTAAATTATTTTTATACAAGACATTTTTCTTGAAAACCAAAATCGAAATTCTAGTTGTTATTCCTCTCCCCCTACAAAGAAAAAATAATAATAAAAAATATAGAACAAAAACGAAAACTTCCAAGTGATGAATATATCAGGCTAACCAAATTATAAAAAAAAACAAATTGATTTCCTGTTGTTGATGACATGATGATATTTCAAAAAAATAGAAAAAATAAAATCTTATATCAATTCAATGTGGGTAGATTGGTTGGTTGGTTGTTGTTGTCATTATTTCGTATTTTTACCCACGATTTTTTTGCCGTAAATATATGGCTGCTGCTGCTGCTTGATTTGCTTGTTTTCAATATTTTCCAAAAAAAGATTATTCATTTTTTTTTGTTTTTGTTTTGGTCAATTTAATTTTTCAATATTTAAATAATAATGTTGAAATAAAATTAAAATATAATAATTATAATTATAATTATATCAATATAATCAAAGAACATTGAATATATAATCAATATATAATATATTTATATAGAACATTAATATAATCATCATTTATAATAATAATAATAATAAGAGAGAGAGTATATAATCAATCAATCAATCAATAATTAATAATCTATAAGGTTATCAGGTCGGTTCACAAAGGATATAGATTTCATCCAAAAAAAAAAGAAGAAAATAAAGAATATTTAGGACATAAAAGGCTCATTTAGGTAATTAGGCAGAACAAAAAAAGATTTTTCGTTTCGTTAAAAACAATTTGGAAAAAAAACAATAAGGATTTTTTTTCATTCAAATTAATTTCTGGAATGTTCAGTGTAAGTAGTTTTTTTTTTCGTTTTGATTCAAAGAAAATTCTGGTAAAAACAACAGAGTGTGTGAGATAGAGACACAAACAAACAAGCAAACAACAATTATCAAGAAAAAAAAGTAGTGTGTGTTACCAAATAGGAAAAAAATAGGGATAGAAAAGATTTGAATTACAAAAAAATTTAAATTAAAAAAAATTAGGTAACAAAAATATATGAATAAAATATCAAAAAAAAATCGAATGTGAAAATCAAACAATTTAGCAAAAAAATAATAATAATGAAGCAGCAAGAAAGATTCAAATAGAATAAAAAATGATGGATTCCCACAAATAAATATAATCAAGTTTAGTGGTGTTTTTTCTTCATAAAAAGGATTGAATGAAAAAATTTTATCAGTTTGTTTCTTTTTTTTTGTTTGTTATCTCATCATAGAAAAAAAAGAATGATTGAATAATGGCAATGATCAAATAATGAATTGATGATTGATTGTACTGATTTTTTTTTGTTTTAATCAAATATTGAATGTGCGTGTTTAATGGATTTTTTTTTTGTTGTTGAAAATGATGAAGGGTGTAGAGTATTAAGATGAAATGGATTGCACGTTATTTATTATTTTTTTTTTAATATTCTTAAAGATGCGGATGATGATGATGAGTATAATGTAATGTTTGCAATGTACCACCGCTACCAATCTGTGATGATTGTTGTGGACCACAAATCGATGATGATGATGATGATGTCATAATTGAAGGTAATGGTGGTAATGATGTTGCCGGTGAAAGACCAGTAACTAAATGTCCACCACCACCACCGCCATGATGACCAGTGATCATTGATGATTGTTGACAAAGACTAGCTGATAATTGTGAGGCAATTGACGAAGACATTGGTGTTGAATGTTGCTGCGATAAAGATATTTGTTGCTGTTGTTGTTGTTGTTGCTGTTGTTGAGAATTAGAACTTGAACTCGAGCTATGGCTATTACCACCACGTTGACTACGATGACCACCGGATGATCCACGCTCTCGTTTAATTTTTTGTTTCATATGTACTTTTGCATGACGTTTCTTTTCATCACTTCGAGCAAATTTACGTCCACAGAGATCACATGAGAATGGTTTCTCACCGGTATGTGTACGTACATGAGTTGTCAAATGATCGCTACGAGAAAATGAACGCATACAAATACGACATTGAAATGGTTTCTGTCCGGTATGTATACGAATATGACGAGTTAGTTCATCGCTACGCGAAAAACGTCGATCACATGCATCGATTGGACATGCATATGGTCTTTCATGAACCGGTGTTTTTGATGGTCGATTTGGATATTTACGCGTTTTGACAGGTAATAATTTCAATGGTATCGGACTATTCTGGTATGCTTGACTTAATATTTCATGTCCTTTCGATGTTGATTGATTATATTCGGCTAATGTTGCTGGCCGTTCTTGTGGTTGTTGTCCACCGCTAGTTGTTGATGTTGATCCACTATAACTTTGATTAGAATTTCTTCGAGATTCACGTCCACTGCTTCCACTTTCACCGTGTCCAGCGCCACTTCTTTCCAATGAAGATGGTGAATTCGATAATGGATCATTGGCAGTGACATTTATAATATCGGTAGCTGATGAAATATTCGAACCACCATAACTAGTAGATTCTGTGTCGCATAATTCTTGTTTAATTGAAATTATATTTCCCGTTGTTAACAGTGATGTTCCTGGAACAAGAATGTTTGAATATTCTAATGTAGATGGCGTACTAGTCGGAGTGGATGCAGTTGTTGTCGTATAATAAGGCCATTGTGCGGCATGATATTTATGTAAACTTGCGGCTGCTGATGTTGAAAAACTAGCCGTCGGACATTGGAATGTTGTTGATGATTGTGATTGTTGTGATGGTCGACTAATGAATAAATCTTCACCAACAATTGCTGCCGGTGTAGCTAATGTTAAAGTTGATGGTGTTAAATACGATGCGGATGTTGATGTTGATGATGAACCATTAATGGTTAGTACATTACCGCCTAAACTGGTGTTTATCAAATCGCTTGTTTGAAGCTGTGAACAACTTTGTCCGGTTCCAGAATTTCCATACAACGAATGTGTTGTTGATGATTGTGGTGTTATAAATGATGATGATGTACCGGCAAATAATGAATCACCGGATAATGTTCCATGAATCGAATCTAGTTGACCACTGGATATTGTTATGAATGGTGATGATGATGAAGATGGCGTTGAAGATGGTGTTGAAGAAATTGTTTCGCTTATTAATGTTATTGATTGAGGATTCTGCTGTTGTTGTTGCTGGTGTTGATGTTGATGCGGATTATGATGATGTTGCTGTTGTTGATGCTGGTGATGGCCATGTGTTTGTTGTAAATGTTGTTGTTGTTGCTGAGGATGGACAAAAGAATGATGATGCTGATGATGATGATAAAGTGGGTGTGTATGTTGATGTGTTGGATGTTGAGTATGATAATGATGCGGATGAGAATGATCGGCTAATGTAATAAATTGCGTTGCCGTGGATGGACCAATCGATTGGTGATGATGATGATGTTGTTGTTGTTGTTGTCCCGTTGTTTGATGATGAGGTATTATCGATGATGATGAGTATTGTTGTTGGACATTTTTGGCCACAACATCCGTCGAATCTGTCGATGACCATATTAATGCTCCCTGCTGTTGTTGTTGTTGTTCGTCATTGTTTGTTGTCGTCAATGATGACGATGATTGTGATGATATTGCAATCGATGATATACTTAAACTATTCGATTGTGGTTCCGTTGATGATGATGATGATGATGATGAAAGCTGTTGTTGCTGTTGTGGCGATTGTCGATTTATTGATGCTGATGTTGAAACAATTGAAGAGGAAGTGGATACAGCAGCAGCAGCAGCAGCAGAGGAAGTGGAAGAAGAAGTGGTGATTGTATTGGTTGCTGATTGGGATGTGTTATTGGTTGTTGACAACGATATTGATGTCGATGTTGGTGTTGGTGTTGATGTCGGTGGTGATGATGATAATGATATGATACTTGAGTACATAGCATTCGGCTGTTGTTGTTGTTGTCGTTGATGTTGTCTTTGTTGTTGTTGTTTATTATCGTTATTATTATCGTTATTCTGATCGTTTGTTGTTTCAGATTCTTTTGGTTGTGATTCTTTTGATTGTTGTTGAGTGGTAGTTGAATTTTCTGTATTTTTTTAGAAGGGGAAAAAAAGAATGCAAAAAAAAACTTGTGTTATTCTTTTCCGGTAATTCGATAAAATAATTTGCATGTTTTTAAATGAAAAAACACGGTTGATGAAATATAAAAAGAAATACCAAATCCAAATGAATGAATCAAAGACTACTGATTCATGATTATTTTGAGCATCAACCAAAAAAAAACGAAAAAAAAAACATTAAAATATATTCAAATCATTCAAAAGAATTTAAGAATAGAAAGAATCTATTATAACTATGATGATGATGATGATGATTATCCACTGATTCGCCATCATCATCATTATTATCATCATTAATCAGTGAATTAGTTTTTCGTTTTTTTTTTTAGTTGACAAACTGAGATAGCAATAGAGAAAATATCTGTTGAAATTGTATGTTATTTTTTTTCTCTACTTTCTCCACATTCTCTTAATGATTTTTGTGTGTGTGTGAATAAATTCTGTTTATTTTAGAATTAATTTTGGCCAATCGAGTTTTCTACAAGTTATAGTTATGTTTAAGCGACAGTTTTTTTTCCCGTTGCATTTAATGGCATACCATCATCATTCGTTGATGATGATGATGATATACTGTAATTATAATTAAAATAATCATAATTTTTTTGTTTTGTTTTTAATGAATGAAACAAACACGATTAGAGTTGCCTCGTTGTTATTATTGTTGTTATTGTTTTTCTTTTTCTTCACGATTCTTGTGTTATTCTTTCTTTTTTTTTTATTTTGGTGTTTGAATTTTTTTTTTCATTCGGTCTGCGGTTGAATTGTTTTTCAATGAAATGGAAAATTCATTTTCTAAAAGAAAAAATTCTTCATTGTCACATAATAGAGTGTTTTCATATCGTATATCGGCGATTTAATCATCCTAAATATACGAAATTCTGGAAAAATATCTACACAGCAAACACGTGATTTCCAAATTGGGTCGATGTTTTTTTTTAGTCAAAAAGTTTAAAGTTGAAAATTTTTTTATTGCCATTTTTTTTATATACAAATTTTCTTTTCCATAATGTTCATTCACAAAATTTATGCTTTTTTTCGGTTCCGCAAAAAAATTTACATCAGGTTTTTCCTCTCTCGCTTTTTTTCTCTCTCTCTCCCCAAAAGAATTGCCACATTTGAATTCATTCTCAAGTAATGTAACGATGAGGAAAGAAATTCGTCATCAACCGCATCAAAAAAAAGAAAAAACGTTGGATGATGCCAATGAAATTGCAAATGATGAAAAAAAAGTGACAAATGTGACATATTATTATTATAATACGAATTACGATGACACACACACACACACTTGATTGTCAGAATCAAGATATGACAGCCGTTTTGGTAGAAAATACGTGGATTCGGTAAATTTCTTCTAACATCAACATCAACAACAACAACAGAAAACATCGTCACTTTTTTTGTTGTTTCGTTTCGTTTCAGTTCATTTCATTTCGAATCAAATAAGAAACAAAACAAAAAACTCTCAAGAGAATCTTCATTCAAGAATAAGAAGAATTCAACAGCAAAAAAAAATGAACATTTTTTCTATACGGATTTTAAGTATTACGATAATTCTGGAATAATAATAAAATCCCAAACTAAAATCTTTTCATTTCATTTCTTTCATTCTCTCCTCGTGAATCCAATATTTTTTTTATTTTTTTTTTGAAAAAAGCATCAATTATTGTTTATTTTTGTATGCAAAGTTTGCAATGATGATTCAATGTGTTGAACATTTATAAAAAACATATAGTGTGTTCACACACACTATATTGATGAAAATAAGAATAATAATAATAATTTGTCAAACATGGAAAAAAATTTTTTGAAAAGCTATAAAAAAAGAAGATTTTGTTCGTTAAAAATGACTAAAAAACACACAGAGTGAGAGAATTTTTAAGTACGCATTTGAAGAAATCGTAATTCTTTCATCCAGGTCAACGGAAGAATTATGTTGTTAATAAAAAAAAAATTTTGAAAAGAATCTTTTATGAATACCGTTTGGTAATAATAATAATGGTGATGATGGAAAATTTATTGCTGTTGCTTCGGTTGTTGTTGTTGATGATGAATGATGATGATCTATGGTGGATGATGATGATGAACTCGATGTTGATGGTGAAACAGAAGATGTTGATGGTGATGATGATGATTGACAGGCAATCAAATCATTTGTTGATGAATAATAATCCGGTTTAATTGTATCGACAAAAAATTCCAAATAAACATAATCATCAATAGGTGTTTGATTATTATTTGTATAAGGATATAATTGATGATTTGTCATTCTGTTTCCGTTTCGATTTAATGATTTTTTTGTATATGGATAAAAACATGAACCTAATGTAGGTGTTGTTGTTGTTGTTGTTGTTGTTGATGATAATGATGTTGTTGTCGTTGATGTTGATGATTGTTGTCCATAAAAATAATCAAATTCATTTAATGCTGAATCTAATGATAATGTTGATGGTAATATTGTTGATGATGATGAATCACCAATAGTTGTTGTAAACATTTGATGATATGGATTATAATGATTTTGTAATTCAATTGGATCATCTATTATTGTACGATGATGATGATGATGATGATGTAAAAATTCTAATATTGCCGGTGATTTGGTATCCAAATCGATTGGTGATAAACATTGAGGCATTATGAATAATCCAAATCAAGCCAAATTGTCAAATGTGTGTTCAATGAATTTCAAAGAAAACTTTTACAAATAAAATCAAATCAAATTTTCACATTTAAAAAAAAACATACATGATGATCTATGATCATAACATGACAACGACGACGACTATGATCTGAAGAAAATGGTTGAAGAAAATCAAGATCCTCATGTATGTTACATATGTAAAAAAAAGTAAGTAAGTATATACAACAGACGACACAAATGCAACAAATTTTTCTCTCTCTCCATCAATCTAACGAACAAACAAACATCCGACAAAAAAAATAGAGAAAAATGGATTAGCATCATCATCATTATTGTTGATGAAAGAATTAACGCATCATCTTCTCGTTGAGGGATGTGTGTAAATTATAAACGAAAACCTGTACCATAAATAAAAGGTATAGCAGACACGCCTATTTATCTGCAAAATGTTGATATGAATCGGGTTTTTTGTTTTTTTTTCGGTGATGATATGAATTCATAATCTACGATATTCAAAAAAGAAAAACTTGAAGAATTTTATCACCATATGAAAAAAAAATTGAATGAATTATAATTAAACTAGTTCATCATCACTAGTTGATGGATTTGTTTTGGATTCCTGTCGGCAATTCGATAGGGCAAGACATTCTTAACATTCATTTTGGCTTTAGCTTTTTCATCATTATTATCAATCTACATATGTGGATGTTGATAACGACAAAAGATGATAATGTTGTTGTTGTTGATGATGAGGATGACCATCTGTTGACGATGTGTATGTTTAATCAAGAATTTTCTTAACAAATTTTATCCAAATCATAATGAATTTAGTATTGATGGAAAATTTATTTGAAAAAATTTCGATTAATCAAAGAATCGATTTGATAAATGTTTGTTTAATCCATTTGGTCCTTGTTTTTTGTTACAGATGTTTTGGATAATTCATTTTTTGTTTTTTGTTTTTTTTTGTTTTCTGAATGAATTTATAAAAGAGAAAGAGAGAAGACCGTGATGTGATCTTTCATTCAATGGCATTGGGCCGCGATGATGTTCATGTTTGTGAGAGGTAATTATTATTAGTGATTTTTTTTTTATTTCCAAAGTCTTTTCATTGCTTCTAGCCGCATCATTTAAGATAGATAGAGAGTGAAAGAAAGATATGATAGAGAGAAAAAGAGAAAAGCTACACCTAGTCAATCAGCAAAAAAATTGAATGAATGAATGAATGAAACGACGATGTAATCATATCTTCCTGTGCGTTATTCACTTGTGTGTATGTTTGTGAGTGTGTGATATTACCTAAAATAGTCAAATCTTCATCATCATCATCAACATCATTGTTGTTGTTGTTGAACGAAAAAAAATGAAAATTTGCAAGAAAAACAAATCTTCAATAAAGAGATATATGCACACACACAGTTGGCAGGTATTATTAGTATTAGTAAATCAAATCGAATAATGTTAGATTTATTTAGATTTAGAAAACCAGAAAGCCATCATCATCATCATATATGGTCCATAAGAAAAAAGAAAAAAATAAATTTATAACCCCATAACCATGATCATGTCCGGTGATTTTTTTTGCCAAATGTCCAAATATGTCTTTTTTTATATAAATTGAATTCCGAAGGCAATTTATTCAAGTTGTTTGTCATGTCCTCTAATGTTGCTGTTGTTGATGGTGACGATGATTATCGTTGTTGTTGTCGTTGATGTTAGTTATGATTATGATGATGGTCAATGAAGAAAGCAATTTGATTCATTTATTTATTTATTCATCTTTTAAAAACTGGCCATGATCTTCATTGGAAATATCGATGTTTTCTTTCAACAAAACATTTTTTTTCGATTTCAAATCTTTTTCTTTTCATCATTTGGGTCTATCAAATCTTGTCAGAAATCGATCAACATGCTGATGATGATCTGGATTTTTGTTTTTAGACTCGTGTCGGGATCGTTTTCATTTTGTCGTTCCGAATTACAGAAAAAAGAAAGAAAGAAAAAATAGATCTTTCGGAATAACGAAGGAAACAGAACGAAAACAGAAAAAATTCGTGACCAATAAACAATTTTTATCAAGCGGCAAAAATCATGTTTTTTTTTGAAGAAAAAAAAACGGCTTCATCACATCATCCATCTATCTATCGATGATCATCTTGTTAATAGCGATGACTAATGACCACCAACCATTTTGAGCAAATGAAAAATATATTTCAAGATGATTATAATCATCATACATGAATCGAGACTTGTCTTATCGATTTATCTTCGGAAAAAAAAACAATGATGATGATGATAATAATAATAATGATGGTGATGTTCATCCATGAACACCGATGAACAGCATAGGAAAAATTCCATCAACAACAACAGATCAACAAAACACAATGGCAATTAACAACTGAAAACAGAAAATCTAAATGTTTCAAATGATGATTGAAAACTGGATCGCAAATCAAAAAAAAGTTTATTAAGCCATCTTTTAAGAAAAAAAAGGAAAAAACAAAAAAAAAACTAAAAACGAAATTCCGATTAAAATCAAACATTAAAAATTCGTGTGGATTGTTGTTGTTGATTTGTCGTGTGTCATTCATTCAATCAAAATCATTCAGTAAAAAAAAATATTTGAAAATCTAAGAAATCTAAAGGAAAACCCTATTCACTCAATCAATCAATCAATCACCTAATGTTGATTATTTGGTTAGTTTGATTATAATGATGACGAGAATCCATTGATCAAACATTTCAATTTTGGTGAGATTTTAATTTTAAACACACACACACACATTGACAATAGCCACGCGAATGGCAACATGTATAACATCCGATTATGATTTAACTATTATGATGGATAGAATTGAAAAAAAGGGAGAAAAAAAATCCAAATCAAATCAAATCAAATAGATGTTATGTTTAAACAAATTAAACAAACTGACCAAGCAACACAAATCAAATTCCATCCAAACCATCTATTAGAGGAAATTTTCAACAACAATAAATGTTTGTGGTGGTGGTGATGGTCATCCATCCACACTTACTTGCTAAATCAATAATTATTGTTATTGTCAAAGGTCAAAGGTTATGTGCAAATTCAGAATAATACTATTGCATAACATCCATTCATAGGATTTTTTTCTGTTGTTGTTGTGGTAATTTAAATTTTCTTTAGATTTTTCAAATCTAACAAAAAAAAATCTACCTGATACAAGATCTTTGATGAATAATTGAATGAAAAAGTAAAGAAAATTCAATTTTTTCCCCCCATAATTTTTTTGTTGCTAAATTATCAACAATAAATATTGACAAAAGTGTAAACATTAAATTTTTTTTTTAAAAAGTGTTGATTGATGATTTACCGCCGCCTAGTTCCGGTGGAAAAAAACCTTTATAATTTTTATATATCCAATTTCATACTAACACAGGTAAAACATAGATAAGGAATAATTGTATTTTTTTTATTTTTTTTTTGCTATTTCGTTTGAAAAAACTTAAAAGATAAATTTCAAGGATAGTTAGTTATTAGCTAAAAGCATATATGCAGATGAAACGTTTTGATAGCAATAATGAATATTTTACACACAAAAAAAACGCTAATTTTGGTTACAATAAAATATTTTGATAATCGCCCACACTTTGTGAATGTTACTGAAAATGAAATGAATGAAAATTATTAATTTTTTTCCAATATTGACACTAATTTTTTTTGGTATACCAAAATGCTATTTTTAAGACAAATATACAGGGTGACGAAAAAAAAACCAAAATAGATCAACGAACAATTCATGAATGACATTCATATATTTCATAAGCCAAATAAATCATCATCATATTCCGATTCAAATTTAAATGTTGTAACAAATTTTCATTTACACCTTGACTTTTTTTTAGTTGGTGGTAGTTTCCATCGAATTCGATGAATCTTTTTTTATCTTCAACTATTATCATTGTTACTAAATAAATAACTAAATATAGAATTTTTTGTTACCAAAAATAACTTTAGAATTTGTACTAAATAATGTTCGATCGAAAATTGCTAAATATAAAAATATCAAAGAATAAAGAAAAATCAAAGCAATATAATTGGGTCCACGGACCAACAACAAGGCAGCAATCATTGATATTCTCATTCTAAGTCGAGAGTAGTATCTTAAACACACACACACACACAATTTTTTTTCTTTTTCATCGTATATGTCAAAAGCGAATGATTCTATTTTTGGGTTTTCACATTCAGAACAAAAATGATTCGTCTCATATAACAATCAAACGCATACACACACTGTAGAATGAAAAATTTTCAGGTCTTTTGAGCTAGAATTCATGCAATAATAATAATAATAATAATCAGGAAAAAAAAATTCTTTGTACTTTTTTCTTCTCGATTTCAATGGAACTGGGCAGGAAAAAATATGATTTTTATTTTTATTTTTTTTTGTAAATGTCCAAATTTAGTAAATTTTGAAATGTTTTTTCGGTAGAATTTCGTCACCAATTCTGGCTAGAAAAAAAATGAAAGAAAATTTATCACCAAATTTTTCTTTTCAAAATGTTTCTCAATAGTACACAAAAATAGAGTGAAATGTTGTAAAATGTTTTAATATTCTTATCAAATGGATTGATTGATAGATTTATGATATGTCATCATGATGACACGCAAACAAGCAACAAAAAGAGTTACAACTTAACACTGTCTTCAAATTTAACGATCAGTAAGATTTAATAATAATGATCAATTTTTTTTTTTTTTGAAATCAATAAATTGAAATTTTGATTTTAACACTTTTCATAACGAAAGGTTATGAAAAAAAACAAATTTTCCCAATGAAAATTCTCAATATTCTTAAGTACGTTTATCATCATCATCATCATCCACTTAATAAGCCAAATAAAAATTAATTAATTTTTTAAGTTTAAAAACAAAACAAATTACAATAGAAACAATGGCAAAAGACACACACACAGAGAGAGAGAGAATAGTTGTCATTTGTTGTATTCTATATATAGAATGTCCTCTTGTGCCTTTTAAACCTTATGAATTATGTTCTGGTTTTTTTAGATTCTCACATTCTCTCAGTGTGTGTGTGTGTTTGATTTATTTATCAACATCAGTTTTTTTAAAAAAATTTTCAATTCCATTTCATTCATTTGATTTGCATTTTGTAATTTTACATTTTGATTTTTTCCCTGTTTTTTTAAAGTTTTTTGTTTTCTTGGATTTTCTCCTATTACGTTTGTCACATGATAAGAATCCAGATTCAACTATAGGAAACCTGATCATTCTTAAACAATAAAAGTCGAATAACAACAATAACAAAAAATTAAATTAAATTATTCAACTTCAACAAAACAAAAAGAAAAAGTAGATCAATTTTCTTTTGGTAAATATTAGAGAAAAAAAGAAGATATTTTTTTTAGCTCAAAATTACAAACAAACATTGAAAAAAATGAAAATATTAACGCAACTGGTTAATAAAACGTTATTTTTTGAATCATTTTTTTGTCTGAATCAAAAAACCGACGAAACGAATTATTCCTCATTTTTTTGTGGATATTTTTCGTCTGTTGATGATTCCAAAAAAAACAAAACATTCGAAATGAGTATGCGCAGTTACAGAATTCAACAAACAAACAAAACAAAAAAACAAACATCCATACGATTTGGCAACATTGTAATATTGAACCTTTTTTCATTTCAAAACTTATTAATGAATTCTGTTACATTACATATCATCTATATATAGCGAGATTGACTGAGAGAGTAGCTATTCCATTTGGAACGACGAAAAAGAAGAAAAATTTTTATGAATGAATCCAAAAAAAATAGTAAGGTATATGTAGAATAAAATGTGACTGACTGACGACAATTCTACAAAATCTGCTGGCTGTCTATCTGTATATCAGTATAAAATATTCAACAATGACGTAAATTGAAAAGACATATTATTTAGAAAAATATCACCAATTGATAATGATATATATCGTACGCATCCTCATTGATGTTTTAATAGTAAAATAAAAATCGTATACCAAATGTGATTGTGTTTAGTGAAAGAAAAAAGATTTTCATTATAAATTCTCGGCCGGAACCTGGTCTACCCCTAAGTTCCCAACGGTAAATGATAGCGGCGGCGGTGGTGGTTGGTTGGTTAATGGAGGGGGGTTCGTTGATTCCGGCAAATATGAACATGATCTGAATGTTCATACTGTTGTATGGTATGATATGGTGACTATACAGTTTGATTCAGATAAATGTGTAAACATAATAATCATTTTCAAAGGTCATGATCTTGAAATTGATGTTGAACAGGTAGATAGGTAGGTAGGCCATGAACTTGAAAATTTTTTTTAAAACTTACCTGTTTGATTAAATGATGATTCTAATGATGAATAACTAAAACTACTATCGTTACTATTATCAGGACTATTATTGATACTATTTTTATTATCAAAGCTATTACTACGATGCTGCTGATGATGATGATGATTAGTTAATGAAAATGATGTAATAATTGGATGAAGATAATCAGTTTCGTTATCGTTATTATTTTGAATTTGTTCAATATCATTCGATGATACGGTTGATGATAATGATGATGATGATGATGATGAAATTGATATGGATTTTGTTGATGAAGAATTATTATTATTATTATGATCATTCAATTGATAATTGAATAATTTAGATTTTTCAGATTGAAATCGAAATTCTTTATCAACTATCGAATCCAATTCTACGTTAATGTCTTTACCGTCGTCGTCGTCCTCGGCTTCTTCTTCGTCTTCTTCCTCGAATCCAATTCCTGTATCGGAATGTATTAACATTAAATTGGTTGCCGTTAATGTATCAGCCACTGTTGTTGAAATAGATGTTGTTGTTGTTGTTGTCAATGTAGATAAATTTGATTCATCCGATAAATCAAATTTATCAATCAATGATGTTTGATGATGATGATCAAAATTATCACCATCACCGGCGCAACAATCGCCAATCAATGATGAATGAAAACTTTCTGTCGAACTATTCAGTTGATAATTTTGTCGTAAATCACGTAGATATGGATTTCTTTCGGTTTTTTTAACTATTGTTGTTGATGATGATGATGATGATGATGTATGATAATAATCAATATAAGCAGAAGAAGAAGAATCTAATTCATTCGATAAAATATTAAATGTTTTATCGCTCACTGGAGCATTTAAATGTTTATTAACAATGGTATTCATGTCCATGATAATCATGTTGATTGACGATTAAACCTTTTTAGGTTTACACAAAATTTATTATTATTATCGATAATATTAATATTGATTGATTGGACATTAACAATAACATTAACAACAACAACGTCGAACTGATTATTCGTCAGTTCGATATTGTTTATTATGGTCATCATCATGTTTGTTTCATCAAATAACCAACAACAAAAAAAAATGAAAAGGTTACAATAACACAATTGTAAATTGAATCATATTACTGGATGATGATGATGACGATGTTCATTGTTTGAAATCAACATCCAAAATGATGACTGCCATACGATTGTCGAGAACATTTAAATTGAAATGAAATCCAAAAGAAAAAAACAGAATTTTGGTGTACTGAACACATTGAGAATAAAATGGACAACGACCGAACAGAACTGAACTGAACTGAACTGAACTGAACAGACATGATGATATTAGAGAATATGAAAAAAAAGGTAAAATCGCGCACCGGTTTTTTGAAACAACAGAATTTTTGGAGGCAAAAGATTTCGCTGTTTGCCTTTTTTTATTCACAAATGTTTGATTCATTAAAAAAAATGATTCTAGAATATAAAAAAAAACTATCACTGTGATTGTGTCGAGTTAGGTTATGAATTGTACATTCATCTAGTGAATTTACCAAATCGAATCGGAAAAAAATGAATCCTAAATATCACACACACACACACCGGTAGCTGTGGTCTGTTCATCATTCACAAACCAAAAAAACAAACATGAACGTGCGCCACGTCTGAAAAAAAATTATCCACAAAACGAAGAAGAAGAAGACGAAGAAGCTAACCATCGCGCCAATTCTTGAATTTTCTTAATTCTAAAATGTGAATGCGGAACAACCTGGGCTACAAATATGTTAGATTCCCACCGGCATCTGATGATTACGTCACACGCATGATTGAAAATGATTTTGTTTGAAAAAAAAAATTTTTTTCCATTGATAGAATAACGTTTTGTTTTGGTGAAACGTTACTCTATCATGCAACAATCTATATATATATGAATGCCATACAGTAATGGAACGGAACCAACCAACCAACCAACCAACAATCATAATGATGGTTGCACTCCTGATCCAAACACGAACAACAACAACAACAACGGCAACGACATCATTGATGATGATGATGATAATGACGCAAAAAGTCATGCAATATTGTTTTTTTTGCAACAATCATATCATCATCATCAATGATTGGTATTCCATCATGCGTCATTATCATTTAAGCATCTTCATTTCAACAAGAAATTCTATATATCACTTTCTCTATGTATATGCGCATTTCTTTCTTTTTTTTTTGGTTCCAAATGGAACCAATATTGGAACCACCATGCAAACCAGGTATATTTGATGTTATTACGTATGAGTCGTGTGTCATGTGTGTGTGTGTTTATGGGAAAAAACAATGCTAAAGATAGATATAAAGTGTGGTTGTGTGTGTGTGTAAGAAAAATTGTTTTGTTTTTGTTTTTTGTGTTGGATGATTATCCTCATTCTTACATTTGGTCTTTTTTTGAATTTTTATGAATGAAATTTAACGATGATGATGATAATAATGATGTTCATTTAAAGTGACTATATATGGGATCTGTATGTTTTGTTTTTCTCACTGAAAAAAGAAGAAGAAGAATCTTTGAAAGGTTTCTCCATATTGGCAAATATTTCAATGTATTTTTTCTTTCTAATTCTGAATATATCCATGTCCATGTTGTTCAATTTTTAAACATATTGATTATCTGAAAATAAAATCCAAAAATGAATTGATAAACAACTATGAAAACTAAAATTAACAAAAATAGCAAAAAAACAAAACAAAACAAAAAGTTTTGAAACATCACTATTGAATTCTAATACTAACTGAATTCGAGTGAATTTTCTTTTTCTTTTTTTCTCTTTTTTTTTTGGTTTTTGTTTCATCGGTAAATAATGTAGAAATCCTTTATTAAAATGAAATATGTTTCATTAACAAAACAAAACAAAACAAAAAAAACCAAATTTGTAAATTGAAGAATTCTTTGTTTTGGTTTTGTTTTCATTCACAATGTGTTACGACAAGGTCACGATTGTAAACTGAATACTGCATTTCCCCAAACACATTAGACACACACTACACACACCCACACAATTTATTCAATTTAAGATTTTAAGTATTATCATTTTGTTGAAAATCTACACTTTCTGTTGTTTGAAATTTGATGTCGAAATTCTTTTTTGGATATAGAAAACTAACGATAAACTCAGGTATTGATAAACTTTCCATTAATTATCCATCACAAGTGGTTCAATGTGTTCATTGAATGGAAAGAAAAAAATCCATCTCATCCAAATCTGTTCCTGATCTGTATTAACAAACATGCACACACTGAAAATCATTTTTTTTTTTGAATTTATGTTTGCATTACACATTTGATTGGTGTGTAATTTGGAAGTGATTTTTTTTTTGTTTGATGTTGCACCAACACATCCAACTATTGTAATTATTAAAAAAAAAATCTGGTTAACACATATAATTTATCATTATTTGCATCATGTTTTAGGGTTTATGTATCGATTTTTTTTTGTGTGTAATCCGGATAACTTAACCATTTTTTTTCTGTTGCTGTTGACTAATTCGTTTGAAAATCGGATTATCATCATCAATTTTCTTTTCTTTCTTTTTTTTGTCACTTTAATTTTACGAAATCAATAAATTTCCGGATGAATGAATGAATGAATAACTATGGCCAAAAAAAAAGCAATAAGCAAATTCTTTAATTCTTGAATCCGAGATGAACTAAAAAAATTATTATTAGTACAAAAATCTTAACGATTGAAACAAAAAAATATTCGGAATTAATTCCTGCCAACAGCATCAAAGCGAGAGAATCAAAAAATAAAAATAAAATAAAAATAAAAAAATCGATCAACTAATTCGATCGATTGGGCAATCAATCGATTGATTGATTATTACTACCTTGGGGTCACCATGTTTTTCTGTTTCTTGCTCTTCATAATCACAATATCAATTTGAGGAAATAGTGTTTTCCTTTCTCTCTCTCTCTTTCCGTTGATATTATCAATGAAAAAAAAAATTACTACAACATCAACAACAGTGTGGTAATCAAATATTTATGGAAAAAAAAATGATGGTGATGATGACAAACAATGATAATCGTATATACATCGGATGTTATAAATTTATCGATATCCAAATTTGGACAACTTTTATGTTTGCAATATAATAAACCTCGAATGTTAATGTGTGCAAGTTTTGATTCATTAAAATTTTCTCAATGAAAATCAGTGAACAAAAAGAAAAGAAAATAGAAAAAAAAACGTAAAAACGTTTTTTGACGTAGTTTTTCTCTTTACTCTCGTAGTCTCTCTGAATACATTTCGGATGTGTGACATTTATGGATTTTTTTCTGTTTTGTTTTCATTTTACGTTAATGAAATATATGAATGAAATGTATTTGATGATGTATTTTGATATCTAAATCACCTTATACATACTTTTCCAAGACAGGCTTTGTATGTATACAATTTGGCCAATTGAATTTCGATTAAAGATGTGAAGATGTTGAAGGTGAAAAAAGTCAGAGAGAGAAATTCAAGTTTTTTTATCTTCAGTTATTCAATTCAAGCTAGAAAGAAGAAAAAAACTTGCCGAAGTTGGAAGGAAAAGAAAATTTTTTTGTATATTTGTACTGTTTGATATCCTTATTTGGATGTTCCGTTCTGGATTTTCAAAATTTCTACTTGCTAATAAGTTTTTATGAATGAATAAATGAATGATGGCCATTTTGGAACAAACAAAAAAAAACGGTCGTTATCATAGTAAACATGTTTTTGTTGTTGTTGTTTTTGTTTCTATCAATGTTGTTGTTGTTGTTGTTGTTATCGTCATTTTACGTTCATTGATGGATTGACAATTTTATTTTTATTTTTTCATTATGACGAAAAAGAAATGAAAATAATCCTAGTTGATTTGCATCAATGATTGAAGAGACAAACAACAACAACAACAAGTACATCGGCTTAGCTTAGAGCAGCGAATTTTTTTTTATGAATGAAAAAAAACAGCAAACGACCATCTTTGCAATGATCCAATCCAATCATTTTGATAATCAATCAATCAATCAATCGATAGATCGATAAATTTTATTTTTCTTCAAAAATAGATTGATTCGATTCCTGGAAATATTTTTTTTATTAAACTTATGACGTTTCTTTTTTTTTTCATCTGTTTCGCCAAAAAAAAAAAAAACATTACAAAGTTTACAAAGGAAAAACACCCTTTTTTGTAATGTAATATACAACTACCGGTATTGTATTACAATGTTATTCATTTTCATTCTTAAGATTCTTGTTGTTGTTGTTGTTGTTGGTTTCTTTTAAGAGCAACAAAGATATATATTTTTTCCAATGAAACAAGAAAAAAATATGACTAATCGACGTCATTCTGCCAAATTTTTTTTTTTAAATATCCAAAGCATAATTAATGGCAATTATCGTAAAACGATCATTATATGACGATAATGGTTGTTGTTGTTGTTGTGGTTGTTGATTTTTTGTCAGTTGATGTTTATATATTTGACGCGTGCGCTTATTACTATCGGATTAATGTTTTGAAGAAAAAAAATGATAAAATAAAATATAAAAAAACAAAAATATTGATCAATGAATTTAACATCCGATTCATCCGATTTTTTTTTATTTTTGAAAACGACGACGACGATAATGATAATATTTTTTGTGTGTGTGATGATAATGTTCAGAAGATTGATTGACGTAATAACCATACCGTTTTTTAATATTTGATTTGATCCAAAAATGTGTTATATGATTTCTCATCTTCTTTGTAAATTATAAGTATTAAACGGATGAAAAAATGAAAGAAAAAAAAAACATAAGAATCTTCTTCTTCATTGTCTATGATTTTGGTTGTTGTGTCTGTGATAATCCTTTGATGTATTTCCGGTTCGAGCGCATGATCAAAATGCCATATCCACATATAGAACTCTCTCTCTCTCTCTCTCTCTCTCTCTCTCTCTCTCTCTCTTTTTCTTTCTTACCTTTAAGGTGAATCTAAGGATTTTATTAAGACTTTGTTGTTAAGGTATTTTAATAAGATTTATATGAAAAATGAAAAAAAGAAAATTTAAAAAGCTAAAATTTCTTAAAGTTATAAAAACCAAACTTTGACATTTTTTTGGATTTAATTTTATTCATTGAAGGTTTTCGTTGTTCTTGATTAGAATTCGAGTACAAATTTTTTTTCTCTGCAAACATCACCACCAATCAAACTTGACCTGAAAATCGGTCAAATCAATTCAAATTTATCAATGAAAATAGAAATTCCTTATCTTCCAATTTATAAACCTAAACAAAAAGCTAATAACCGTTCTTGACATTGAAATTCAAACAACAACAAAAAAACATTTCAAAATATTCAACCAGTAGTAGTGGTTTATATTGAACCAAAAAATATATTGTTTACTTTTTTTCCTGGAACAGACGAGTGAGATTTGTATGAAATTTCTTGGAACTGAATACCAAACAACAAAAAAACAACTACCACTACCACTGTATATGATGAAATGATTACAACTATTATTACAAAGAACTAGGATCCAAAAAAGAAAGAAATTCTGAAAAAAAACCGGAAATTCTATATATATGTAAAAAAGAACATACAAAAAAATAAAAAGTTAAGAAGAATCCATAATGTGTTAAAATAAATCCTATTTTGGAAAAAAAAAGAATTTCATATATTATTTTTTGTATGTAGATATTTGATACGCATGCATATATTTCTTTTTTTCGTCAGTCTTCAGTATGATGTGTCGTGTGTTAATGTCAAACGAATATCATCTTTACGAATATCTTACGTGTGACGATGAAATATCAGAAACCAAAAAAACGAAATAAAAATCAAGTCTGCTTTACTTGAATTTTCCTGTATCCGGTTTTGTTTTCATTTTTGTTTTTTTTATGGAAAAAAAACTCTGATTTATCATTCATTCATAAATTTCAAATGAAATTAATTTATTGGTCATTTAAATTGAATAGTAAAAAAAAAATGTACGAATCCAAATTCCCAATAACAATCAACAGAATTAATCATTCATTTCCCGGTGTGATCATTATTTTTTTTTAAACCAATTAGTCAGAATAACAATAACAAACGGTAAAACACATGATAATCAACACACACACAAATTGAAAACCACAATATTTTTTTAAAAAAAACTTTCGTACAAATGTACTGGACACAAAAATTTTAAAACGAAAGAAATATAAACCAACAAAAGAAATTTAAATTTCATTTGTTTCGACACACACACACGAAAATATGTAACAGAAAAAATCAAAAAATAAATCATTACGAAATTGTAGGTGTATTTTGTGTATTTTTTTTTTTTTTCGATAAAACTATATATAAAAATGAATGGGGTAAAGTTTTTTTTAAAAAAATTTATAACAAAAAAAAATTCTGTACTTTTATCTGGAAAAAATTATTATTAAAATGTTCTTTTTCTATTCACGTTTAATATTTTTTTTCCTGTTCGATTCTGGTACAATAATCGATTGCGTGTACATGGATACTGGATGTTTGAAAAAATTGTTATTTTTAAACAATTTTTTTCGTTTTGTTTGATACGATTGGTGGGCACATACTGAAACACATACATCGCCCACGGAATTTATTCTTTTCTTTCATTCATCTTTCAATTTCGATGAATTTGTATTGTTATTAGTGCAATATGTATTTTTATATATCTTTTCTTAAATAATAATAGTAATAATAATTTTGGAATCTTACAATTGCGATTCTTCAAAGATCAATTTTTTTGAGTATATATTGACATATGATGTATTATTTCATAACGGTTATCAACTAGGATAAATATAACTTGATGATGTTACTATGCGAAATATAAAATTCATCAATACCATAACCATATCAGATCATCAAGAGAAAGTAAGAATTTAGGAATATTAAAAAAAAATATCAAATTTTTGATTGGTTTGAAGTTGAAAATTGGTAGCCAATACATATTAAGCCACACACACACACACACATTCAACACCTGCTTTAAATGAAATAAAGCAACCGCCTTCTATAACAATGTGTTTGGCGTGTGTGTTTGTTGATCACATCACATCATTATCGTTGAGAAAAAATGATGGTCATCCTCTTGAATGAATGAATGAATGGAAAAAAAAACATAGCTGAATGGGCGGTGTTTGCAATAACAACAACACAAAAAAAAACCAGATACTATCCATTTCATACATACATAGATTCAACTTTACATTCAAATCAAGTTTTCCTCTTTTTTTTCTTTTTATAAACATTCCAAAAAATAGCCGATCAATGTTTATGATTGTTTGATCATTGATTGATCGAATCAAATCAAATCAAATCAAATCGAAGCAGAAAAAAACTTCAGAAGCTTTTGATGATGATGATGATGTGAATGAATTTAGCCCCAAAAATAGCCAAAAGAAAAAAAAATTTAAGTGAATTTTTGTTTTCTGGTTCAAATTCTTCTGATATCATAGATTCAATCCGATTAATGAAAATCGACACACACACTCATGTAATGTGAGGGAAAAATCAATCAAATAATGCACTGATGTTTTTTTTTTGTTCACAACAATTATCACATCACCATTATAATATAATTGAAATAGTTTGGAACAAATGGTAATTGGCTGTGTAATGTGTAATAGTTAATAATATCAATCAATCCAGAATTCAAACGTTTGAACAAAAAAAAAAACCTATCAATCCGATTGTAAATGAAAGAAATGATTGAATGTCACAATGTTTGTTGATAATAATAATAATAATGTTGCACAAGCAATAATCTTGAAAAAAAAATATTTTTCTTCATTCGATTTGTTGATCTTTTTTTTGAAATATATGTACGCAATTGGTTAGTTTAATAATAATTTGATTGCCATTATTATTATCAATTTTTTTTTCGTTGATGTTTAGAAAGAAAAAATGAAGAAGAAATAATTGTACCAAAATCACACAGTTGATGAACACCTGCAATCGTGATTCTAAAGTTTTTGTTTGTTTTAGTTTTTTTTTGAATTTATCATCACGAGTATTGTATGCTAGTGAAAAATGAATGGAATGAAAATGAAAACCGAACCGATCGAATTACTTTTTTGGCCACTGTACATTTTTAGCAATGGGCAATTATATTCAATTTAGAATGAAAAACAAAACAAGTCAAAAACAACAAAACTGTTTCATTTTAAACATATGTCTGAGTCAAATAATGTTTGCCAGATGATGATGATGATTAGTTAGTGGTCAGAGGTCAGGTGAATTTTTTACTTTATTTTTTGGAATTAAAAAAAAATGAAAATAATCGATGCACATACCTGTTGAATGATGAAACGATGGTAATATATTTTGATTATTGATCTTTGGATTCGAATTGGATAAACGATTTTCGCTATTGTTGTTGTTATTGTTACGATTCGGTGATGATGGTGATCGCAATGAATATAACCAATATGTTGAGACATTATAATGTGATTTTGCTGCAACAGCAGCAGCTGCAGCGGCAGCAGCAGCGGCAGCCGCTGCTGCTATATTTGAATTAGAATGTTGTATAACCGGAAGTTGATGATGCGGATGATGATGATGTTGTGAATGAAAAAAATTATTCCATCGATTAGTTGCTGTTTCATTAAATGATGTTTCAATCGATTGTTGTTGTTGTTGTTGTTGTTCACTGTTATGATGATGATATCCGTTTGTTAATAAAGATGATTGTCCATTCAAATCATTGGAATTTTGATCTATTAATTGATGATTATTTAAATTTCTATCCAATTGTGATTGACGACATGTAGAATATTCTATAGGATTTTGATATTGTGTAGATTGATAATATTGAACATTTGGTTGATTATTATTATTATTATTATTGTTATTCATTGAATCAACTTGTGATGATGAATATTGATGATTATATGACGTATGATTCGAATGATGAATAGGATGACGATGATGTGGATGATGATGATGATGATGATGAGAATGATATATAGAACTAGTCATTATGAATATATCATTAACCGAACATCATTTTCAATTGTGAAAAAAAGGATTATTTGAGAAAAAACTTTTCAGCATTATTGTGAAGAAATTTGCCGGCAATTTGAACAATTATCGGACAATGCACACACACACACAAACACACACACAAAGGAAAAAACCGAATAACATTGAGAATTTAAATTAGAATTTAAAATTCAATAACATAAATTATATGGCCTATAATAATGATAATGATTAAATCAACGTTATCTGAATGAAATGGATGCGGCTATGAATGAATAGAACAGAACAAAACAACAAAAAAAAGAGTTACTACCATCAACAAGTGATCATAAATGATAGCATCCAACAATCAATGTGTGATAGCCAACAGTTCAACGATAATGGTAAAAAAGAAGTGAGTGAGAGAGAGAGAGAATTTGTAAAAAGAAAACATTGAAAGAGCCATGGCATGGATCTACTGATGATGATGATGATGATGACCATTATTGGTCATAAACAGGTGGTGGTCGCTGAAATTTTAGTTTGGATGTGAAAAAAATAATGTTAAATTTGCTGCCAATGTTACAAATTGTTGTTGTAGATGTGTTTAGCGCTTAAAGTTTTTAAACGAAAAAAAATATTCGATTGACGATGATGTCGAAATGGACTTTCTTTCTTTCTTTCGTCGTCGACGACGTCCAAATCGTTGCCATCATCATTCTTATATGTCGGGTTATGTGTTTTGGCCATTCAACATAGAATGGTTCTCGATACAACAAAAAAAAACTTGCGTAGGAGCTGAATATCTTCCAATGTACACACATCATTTTCATGATGTTGTTGATGATGATCATCATCATCAACTACCATTGACATCGGTCTTCCAAGATGAAAATCATCATCATCAAGAAAGTAAGCAAAGGAAAAAAAAGGTGGTGGTTCATTTTTATCCGAAATGTTCAAAATTGAATGAACTGAATACACCTTTACACACACTGTCAAAGGGGTTGACAAATTTATTACATTTATATCATTATCATCATCATTGTCGATGTCACTTAATAATCAAAAAATCAATTTGAAATGTTGATCATTTTTTTTCATGTTTGCACTGATTTTTATTTTCGGATGTTTTCGAAAATCTCTTTTCCGTTTCTTAGTTTTTTTGTTGTTGTTGTTGTAAAGAGAAAATCTTTGATCTTTGTTCGTTGTTTTTGTGTGTGTAGGATGTTGGCAACATTAGTTTTTTTGTTTGTTTGTTTGCTTCTTCACTCACTCTCTTTTCATCATTTTTTCCGGTTTTTATTCATAATTTAATTTAGTCCAAAAGATTTTCGGGTTTTTTTTCTGAAAAAAAAAACTTTTTTTTAAATGGACATGCAGTTAAATGAAAGATCAAATTTTGACATTATTTTTCTGCTCTGCTCTGCGATAATGTTTTGTTTGTTGTTTACCTAACCGACAAAAACCAACAAAAAAAAAAAAAAATTTCCAATTCTTTTTCCGAGACTATAGAAAAATCTCGAAAAATTCTACATTTACCATTGGTAGATGGCAGCTTTGTTATCTCTCTTTTATTAAATTATCGGAAATTATTATTTTTTTTGTTGTATTTTTTCTCAAATGTTTATTCAATCATGATTAGATCAACACCAAAAATAGTACCAATAATTCAATAGACAAATGTATTTTTAAATATGTTTTTTTTTCATTCATTCATTCATTTTTTAAAATAGAAATAGAAAATGTTTTGTTTCTTTTTAAATGTTTTCCCGTTTATTATTTTTGGTACTATTTCCGCATATATTACCATCCTAACGGATACATACATTGGACATTTAATAAATGGAAAAATTGAAAAAATTTTCATTATTATTTTTTTTTCAATGTTAAACAAATAAACACGCACACAAACAAACAAACAAACAAATACGGGTAACGATAATACGAGCACCCACTTCTTCAACAAACTAATCATTTCGTTTTTTTTTTCTCGAAAATTTCATCGACACATAAATATTTCCGGTTCATTTTTGGTTTTTTCATTTTCCAATGAATTTTTTTCCTATTAGCAGCAGTAGTACCCTATTCTTGTGTAAATGTCAATTGAATAAAACTCCTTTTTTTTTTTTTTTGTTTTTCTTTGGTTCAAAATGTAAGTAAATGTTTTAATAATTTATTTTTTAGGATATTATGTTCGNTTGTTTAGTTTGGATGTGAAAAAAAATGTTAAATTTGCTGCCAATGTTACAAATTGTTGTTGTTGTAGATGTGTTTAGCGCTTAAAGTTTTTGAACGAAAAAATATTCGATTGACGATGATGTCGAAATGGACTTTCTTTCTTTCTTTCGTCGTCGACGACGTCCAAATCGTTGCCATCATCATTCTTATATGTCGGGTTATGTGTTTTGGCCATTCAACATAGAATGGTTCTCGATACAACAAAAAAAAAAGTTGCGTAGGAGCTGAATATCTTCCAATGTACACACATCATTTTCATGATGTTGATGATGATGATGATCATCATCAACTACCATTGACATCGGTCTTCCAAGATAAAAAATCATCATCATCAAGAAAGTAAGCAAAAGAAAGAAAAAAAAGGTGGTGGTTCATTTTTATCCGAAATGTTCAAATCGAATGAACTGAATACACCTTTACGCACACTGTTAAAGGGGTTGACAAATCTATTACCTTTATATCATTATCATCATTGTCGATGTCATTTAATAATCAAAAAATCAATTTGAAATTTGCACTGATTTTTATTTTCGGATGTTTTCGGAAATCTCTTTTCCGTTTCTTAGTTTTTGTTGTTGTTGTTGTTGTAAAGAGAAAATCTTTGATCTTTGTTCGTTGTTTTTTGTGTGTGTAGGATGTTGGCAACATTAGTTTTTTTCTGTTTGTTTGTTTGCTTCTTCACTCACTCTCTTTTCATTTTTTTTCCGGTTTTTATTCATAATTTAATTTAGTCCAAAAGATTTTCGGGTTTTTTTTCTGTAAAAAAAACTTTTTTCATTTTCTTAAATGGACATGTAGTTAATGAAAGATCAAATTTTGACATTATTTTTTTCTATACTCTGCGATAATGTTTTGTTTGTTGTTTACCTAACCGACAAAAACCAACAAAAAAAAAAAAAAATTTCCAATTCTTTTTCCGAGACTAGAAAAATCTCGAAAAATTCTACATTTACCATTGGTAGATGGCAGCTTTGTTATCTCTCTATTTTATTAAATTATCGGAAATTATTTTTTTGGTGTTTTTCTCAAATGTTTATTCAATCATGATTTGATCAACACCAAAAATAGTACCAATAATTCAATAGACAAATGTATTTTTAAATATGTTTTTTT